AGCCAGCGTCTCCAGAGCGCTGCCCTGTGACCCACGCCTGCCAGGCCTCTGGAGGTGGAGGGGGCCACTGCTCATGTCGCTTGGCTCAGGACCTCACACGAGTAAGTAGCAGCTGCGCTGGAGCCCAGGAAGCCAGAGCGGGTGCTGGTGAGCCCCAGGAGCAGAGGGCAAGCGAGACGGGGGCTCCGCGGGGGTGGTCCAGGCGGAGGGGGAGGGACATCGGTCTTGGGTCCACCAGCTATTTCCTGAGCACCTCCCACCTGCGGGCACTACGGTACAGCACCCGTGTGTATAATCAGGGCGGGCCCACGGGCAGCAACCTCAGCCGTCACCCAGGCCCCAGGCCCGGTTCTAAGCGTCTCCACATTTCATTTCACGACAGTCTAGAGGCTGCACCGGCCAGAAGACAGAGGCACAGGGCGCGGACCAAACCAGAGATGAGCATCTGCTGCTACTACCGGTGGGGGGGGGCGGGGGGGTCGCTGGGCAAAGGGCACAGACTGTCCTTTAAAGCTGGAGAGGAGGCATAACTCAATTCTTTTTACAATTTCATTACCGGAAAAATCTATTGGCCCCAGGAGCATTCTGCTCACAAAATTGAACTAAAAACAAAAGGGCACGCGCCGTGTCTTCCCTGGGCTCTGAGATGAGCTGGACGGCCATCAATCCTCGTCGAGTAGAGAAGGGAGAGCCTCCTCTAGGTCTGTTCTCGTCCGCCTGTCCTGGCCGATGCAGGGGGGTGGGGGGGGGGCCCTGAGCACAGCAGCCCCCCAGCCTTTAGAGACATCACCGAAGCAGAACCCGCTCCCACATCCTTCCAGATCCCGGCCGGGTTAGGGAAGCACTCACAGTCCCTCCCGGACGCCATGAGGCCAGAGTCTCCATCTGTTTTGTTTGCCACGAAGACCCTGTATCCGGACAGCACCTGACACACAGCGACACGCAGTAATTCTCAGTGAGAAAAACTGTGCAAGGGTGTTAGCTCTGGGGACGTGTCCGTGGCTGCTGCTGCCTCTGTCTGGCTGACCGGCCCTGCGTCCCCGTGCCAGGAGGGCCCCGTCCAGGGAGCCGGGACATCACTGGTCCTGACCCAACACCCAGCACAGCTCCTCTGTGGCTCTGAATCCCGCCTCCCCTCAGGCTCTGACAAGTTCACGGGTCCCCTCTGGAGAGCCTTAGAGCGCCCCCTATCACCTTCCTCAGCCCCTGTGCGTTGCCCTGACAGGCACCCCAGAGGGGGTCAGACAGGCTGGAAGGGGGCGGTGGGGGGGGAGGGAGACTCAGGAAATGCAGCCGAGCAGACACATCCCGGCTTCTACGTTCAGAGTGGCCCATGCCGGCTGCTCTCCTCTCCCTCTGCTGCGTCTTCCCTACAAACTGCATGAAGATCAAGAGTGGGTCTTTTTTTCTCTTTCCAAAGCTCTACTGCATATTACGTAATCCCTTCCACAGCGCGGGGAGCTGGGGGAGAGAGGACCAGGGTTACCCTTGAGGAGGCTGTGTCAAGCTGCAGGCAAGCTGCAGAGAGCTGGCCCTCGATGCCAGGTAACGCCCTCCTTCAGACCCACTGGCTGAGGTCTGTGCGGGCCCGCTGGCTGAGGTCTGTGTAGACCCACTGGCTAAGGTCTATGCAGATCAGCTGCCTGAGGTCTGTGCAGGCCCGCTGCCTGAGGTCTGTGCAGGCCCACTGCCTGAGGTCTGTGCGGGCCCCATACCCTATAACGAGAAGCTCTGCGTGTGGCTGCTCGCGGCAGAGGGTGCTCTAGATGAGGTTCTGGCCTCTGCCTATAGGCCCTCACAGGGTGCCGCCTCTCCCGGCCTCTCACTTTGTGCTTGTTTTTTAAAACAGCCTTCTGTCTGGCAGCTGATTTCTAATCAGGTGTTCATCTCTTGTGCTTTCGAGGGGCTGCGTATGGGGGTGGGGGGCCCTCCTGCCCTCTCTGCTGCTACCAGGCCTGTGGGAGCCTCACAGCTCCTTCTGGAGGAAAGGAAGGTCAGAGGGAAGAGCAGGGAGGGAAGAGAGGCCCAGGCCTTACGTGACCCACCTCGCAGCCGCAGCCTGTGTGCATCCCCGTTACAGGCCCGCATTGAGCCGCCAGGGGTAGCCGAGCTAATCAGCCAGCCAGACAGCGTCCCCTTAGCTTCTCAGCCTCATTCTCTCTCTCTCATCTCTGTCTGTCTTTCCCTCTCTCTCTCTGTCTCACACACACACACCCCAGACGGGAAAACACGACTGACAACACAGCCCGTCTACCCCCGCCCCCCGACTTCGGCATCAGTGGCTCTTATTGAAATGTCCGCTCGGTGCCCACGGGGATCTCTGGTCCCCCCCACCCCCACCCCACCGGTGACATCAAAGCCGGTGAAGGGATTATGCAGCAACCCGGCCGAGAGACCCCTTCTCAGGAGGGTGGACATCTGTTTCCATGATAACCAAGCCAGCTCCCCAGGCAGGAGATATTTATGTCTCTATCTCATCCACCTGCTCAGCCTCCAAAACAAATTCCAGGTTCCAGCCACAGAGGAAATGTGACAGTTGAGTGGGAAATTTGCAAACGGGTCATGCTAGGAGCTAGAAGACACGATGACAGTTCTGTCGGGGCAGGAGCTCATGGCTGGGGACACGGGGGGTTTCCTGAGCCTTCCTTACAGCAGGCAAGCCTGCGGAGAAAGGCCGTCCCACCCCTTCCCTCCAGAAGATGGAAGCCTGGGCCTCAGGGCGCTCTGGGAGCCAGCCTTCGTGGCAGGAGAAGCCAGTGTGGAGCTCCTGGTGTCCCAGAGAAGAACCTAGAACCCAGCAGGCAGCCTGAAGCGTGGGGGAGGGGCTGTTCCCCTGGTCCCTCTGGCTGCTGCCTCAGGTACAGAATTTGGAAGACAATCAGCTGGGGGGGGGGTGATGGGCATGGAGGGGGGCACTTGTTGGGACGAGTACTGGGTGTTATTCGGAAATTAACTTGATAATAAACTATAAAAAAATTTTAATTTAAAAATTTTTTAAAAAGGAAGACAATCAGCAACCAGGCCAGCCTGTCCAAGCCAGCGCGGAGGTCAACAACCTTTATGGCTGTTTGAAAGGGGGATGGCGTGGCAGGGGGCGGGGCCTGGAGACCCACTTGGACCCCCACAGTGGCTATGAGGATTATTTTAATGACATTTGAGATTCCACAGGTACAGAAAGAAACCTTTGCAGAGCTCTCCTCTGGGAGTGAAACTGTCACAAATCTCCTCCCCGGGGGCGGAAGAGGCCGGGGAAGATCAGCTGCATAAATAGACATCATCACCAAGGTCCTATCTCCTATTTTGTTCCCCTAAAGACCCATTGGTCTTTCCTTAATAAAAAAAAAAAAAAAAAAAAAAAAAAAAGGCTCTGTCCGTCCCTCCCCTGTTGAGTGCAGAAACGTCTAGTTACTGAGTCACTTCTTTGGCTCGCTCACATGCATGGGAGGGCATTCGTCTTTCTTCTGCTGTTCCGTGTGACATTCAGGGGCCTCAAGCCCCTCTGAGCCCAGATCCGTGGAGGAAAAGGTTTTCCTCCCAACGGTTTGATGGGCTGCTTCGAGAGCCGTCCCCAAGAAAGCCCTGGACATAATTCCTCTGCCCAAACAGTCAAGGGCCTGTGACACGCTCAGAGGCGGCAGGCCACAAGGTGGTGGCCTTTCCAGGGAAGAGAAATCAGAACGGCCACGATCATCTTCAATTTGGAAAATAGGAACGGGCAGGCCATAAACATTTGCCAGGAAGATCCCCAGTTGGGAAGGCACGGTCCGAGCGCACACTGCCTGCGGGGTCGGGGGCTTCTGGCCCCGAGCCCACCGCTCGGGTATCTGCTAGGCTTCACCCAAGAGCCAGCCAACCTGCCTTCTCCTGACCCAGCCGGGAGGCCATTCCCTGCCACCCGCCGCGTGACCCACAGATGCCCCTGTGGGGACAGCCTGGCAGCTGGGGAGGGCCCACAGCCTAGTAGGATCCTGTTGGCTGAGAGGTTTGCAGGGCATCCGGAGGCTGGCAGTGGTGCGGGGTCGGGGGGGGGGCTGGGAGGGGGGAGAGATGGGCCAAGGAGAAGGGCCGTTGCCCCACTGCGGGGCTCTGACCCGCTGCCCTGCATGTCTCCCCCCGGGGCAGGCTGCCCTGTCTCAGGGTCTCACTCACCCCCCGCCCCCGGCTCTGCAAGTCCTGGTTAAATTAGAGGAGTAACTTTAATCAATTAGATGGAAGTGTAAAATAACTGCTCTGGAAACAGGGCTTGTCGTCTTTCGGGCTTTACTGAGGGCATAAGGATGGACTCGCACGTCCCCAGCAGGTGGGCGGCAGCGGGGAGCTGCTGGGGCTGGAGAGGGCTCCCCCTGCCCCACGCCAGCCCTCCCATTCCGTGGTCCCCGCTGGGGCAGAAGGACCCCCAGCCCGGGACAGCCCAGCCAGCTGCGGTGGGTAGTGCCCACCGCCCTTTCTGCCCCCCGACGCCGCCCACTGCCGGAGAGGGCTCCCCTACACAGAGCCCAGACGGCGCCTCTGCCGCCCCCAGCAAACCAGACACAGAGGTCATGTACACGTGGCACGTGGTAGGTAGTCAACACGGATTAAATCCGATGCAGCTTTCCCAGGCCTCTTCCGGGAAGGGTTCTTCCGGTCAGCTCTGTCCACGGACGTGTGTTCAGCTCCTTCACCGCCCTGATCGCCCAGCAGAGGATCCAGTCATGATAACCTCGGGGCCACCAACTGGGAGGTCCCACATGTGGCCTCAGCCTGCTCCCCACCACGGGGTTCCGTGAGGCGCCGGGAAACGTGCCGTACGATCTCCAAAATGTCCTCCGAAGTGTTGAGATTAAGAGAAGTTAAGAGGCGGGGCGCCTGGGTGGCTCAGTCGGTTGAGCATCCGACTCTGGCTCAGGTCATGATCTCACGGTTTGTGGGTTCGAGCCCCGCACCGGTCTCTGTGCTGACAGCTCAGAGCCTGGAGCTGCTTCGGCATCTGTGTCCCTCTCTCTGCCCCTCCCCTGCTCATGCTCTGTCTCTCTCTCAAAAATAAACCTAAAAAAAAAAAAAAAAGAACCTAAGAGGGCAAAGTGGACTGTCCTCTGAGGGGCAGAGACGCAAAGCCTTTTATTCGAGGAGCAGCCAAAGGATAAAGGAGTGAGGAGCTTTCTCTCATGGCCGTGGCAGCCTGTGGCAACCTGTCCCCCTCTCCCCCACGTGCCTGGTTGACAAGGCTGAGGCCACCTCATATCCCAGGTGGGGACCTGGGTCTGCACAGCGGGACCAGCTCCTCTCTGGACCGGGTTCTCTGTGCGACCCCCACATCTGCCTCCCAAGTCCCCGAGTTTGGAAGTAGCCCTGGGGGCTGTCACCCCTTCTCCTCAGGGGTGGTTCCCCACATATGTGGGCATTAACATCACCCAAGCATAGACCCGCCAGCACCGGCTGAACCCAAGTTCTGTTCTCTTACCTCAGCCCCTCGGGAACTGGTCTATCCCACATCACCGGCTGGCACACGCGGATTTTCTGGTGTGACCCTAAGCCATCAGATAATGACGCTGACAACGCTAAAATTTACTGAGCACCTACTAAGCGTTAGTTCCTGTTGCAAAGCATATAAACAAGCCTCTTCCCCATCACTCATGGGCAGAGTGAGAAACAACCGCTATGGAGAAATGAGGCAACTAGACATCAGGGTGATTACCACACACACCTGCCGAGGGACGGGGCCACACGCAGACACAGACGCAGAATAGGTTCCTGGGGCGCCATTAAAAAAAAATGCAGAAAAAGCGCACACTCCATTTAGAAACACTTCTGCCTGAACAGCCACACACACGCTTTGCTGATGGAGAAAATGAGCTTACATGGACCCTCGTTTCCTGATGCTGAGCAGTGACAACGAGAGATTGCCGCCTCCCCGGGGTCAGCCCACCGGGTGCTGGAAGGTAGTAGGCAACAGCGACTCAGCCCAAAGAGCATCGCTAAGGTCCCAGAGCTCAGGAGACACAAAGCTGGGGCGTGAACTTGCGTGGGACCTGAAGTCCAAGGAGGCACCTGCATTAGAATTCGAAATTCAGGCGGAACACAGAGAGGGTGGGGAGGGCGCAGTGGTTAGAAGTGGCCCGAGGACCAGGGTCTGCTGGACTCTCTTCCGGCCCTTCCGGCACCATCTGCCCTGGGCCCCCTGCGCCCACCTGTCGTTCCTGATGGATGGGCCCCATCTGGTCATTTTGCACAAGACGCGTTTTGCAGACCTAGGGAAACTGAGACCCCAGTGGCTAAGGGACTTGCCCGAGGTCACGCGGTCGGCCCCAGCAGCCCGGGGTGTGGGCGCCCTCCTGGGCACTTCCTGTCCCGGCCTGGCCTCCGCTCCCTCCCGCTGGAGGCTAACCCAGCCCTAGGAGGCAGGCCCAGCAGATGCGCCTTTTTTCTCTTTCTTCTCCCAACTCTGTGCCCTTTGGTTCCCCGGGGAACAGGCTGACATTCACCATGATTAGCTCGCTTCCCCCTCTACCCGCAGCCAAGAGCTAATTGTCCTGATCTTCTTCCAAGAACGGTCTCTCTGAATAGCCTTCGCAGGCACAATTCGGCAGGTTCAGCCTGGATTTCACACTCCAGTTCTGAAAAAATCAAATCAGCGAGCAAGCGGAGCCTCTCGGAAGTTCCCTGAGAGCTTCTTTGTGCAGGGAACAAAGCGCTCACATAATTACCTGCTTAGCTGATGAGCACCGGACCCCAGGGTCCCGCTGTTCTCGTCCCATTGGCGGCTGTTCTTGGTGGGGGGGGCGGCTGAGGTGGGGTGGCGATATCCGGAGGTCCCCTCCCTGGGCAGGCCTGGCCAGCTGCAACCACAGGACATTATCACTGGAGAGCCCAGTGGCGAAATGGTTGAGGGGCGACCCCTGCAGGCTAGCAAGTCCAATCCCCGTCCCTCTAAAGCTGGAGCCCCGAGGTCAAACAGCAAGTGCAGGCAGAACCCCAGCGTCACCTGGGCCTCCCTGCCTGTGATGGCCGCTCGGCTGCTTTAAGCTGCACGGCCGTTTTTGCCAGAAAAAAGCAGGGGCTTCCAGCCAAAGAAAATGATTTTTCTCCACCGAACTGGAGCATGTGTCAAACTGTCGACAGACCAAGGAAGCGATTGCCAGCAGCTTTTCTGGGGACGGAGAGGGGTCCTTTATCTCTAAGTGGAGAAACCGAGGCCCAGAAAGAGCCGGTCCAACCCACAGAGCCAATAAATAGCAGAGCTGAGATTCCGCAGACATCCCTGGGCCAGAGCTCACGACTGGCATCGCTGAGCCCCTGCCCCCCAAAACACGGTATCTGCAGCCCCAACAAGCCCAGGTGCCCAGAGCTCAGAGGGGAGGAGCCTGATTCCAGGGCGCACCCTCCCTCGGAGTGGTCTCTCTCTCAAGCTGCTAGGCCCTGCGAAGCTGGTGGCTGAGCCCAGGACTCTGAAAAGGCAGCTCCACACTGTAATCTGTAATCTGGCTCCTCCTCACTGAGCTCTGTCCACCTGGGCAAGACCCTGCGCTCTGGGTTTCTCAGTCCCTCATCTGTAAAATGGGGATAATGCTAGCCACCTCCCGGGGCCGGGAAAGTGCCAGGGCCAGGCTACTGTGCGGCACGTGTGCAGTGAAGGTCGTGCCCATGTGTGTTTGGGCAATGTCCCGTTTGACGCCAATAAAGCAGCCAATAAAGGCTCTGAGCAGTCCTGCAGGAAGGAAGTCTAGTAAGCTGGTTTCAACCAGTGTGATCCATAAACGATGCTCTGGAGCTGGCTTGTTCGGGTCGTATTGTTGAAATCCTGCTTGGAGAACATCACCGGCGCCCGGGCCCTCTGAGTGCCCTCCCCTCTTTTCCTCATGGAAAGACCAGAGTCTGACCTCAGCGTCACCAGCACCGAGAGGCTGAGGCTGTGTGTGGAACTGAACGGGAGGAGAGGCCCTGGGGTAAGGTGGGGGTGGGGGCCTAGACCCAAGAGGAGGCACTAAGCCAACACTGCCAGCCAGGGGGACAGCGTGTACCCCCAGTGCTGAACCGTGAAGAGCGCGGGGTGGAAGTGGCCTTCCAGGACACTTCCGGGACTTGTGGGATGCAAATGACGCTTGATGGAAGGATCCACAAGGCGGTCCTATCCAAAGGGCTGCACCCCCGCCGGTCCCCAGGGCCACCGCTCTTTATGGGTCACCGTTCCAACGACCGGCCGGCCGGTGCTGCAGAGCTCAGGGGCTGGGGAGGGGCGCTCCCGGGCCTGCGGGGTTGGGTTGGGGTGGCCTCGGCTCCGCCGCAGCTGACTGAGCCGCAGGCTGGCCCCACCCGAGAGGAGGCCACTTCTCGAAAGCGAGTGGTCATCCCTCGTCCCTCGGCTGGGAGAGGCCAGGCCTTGCTCGGGGCAGAGCCTCAGCCCTAACGGAGTCAGACGCTAAGCAGCTGATGATTCGAATTTAAATGAGCATAATGAGTTCAAGAGGCCCCATTACTCCAGACACAGAAAATGAAATTAGCGAGCCGAGCCCACTGCAATTGTGCGCTAACCTCATCCTCTGTCTGAGGATGGTTAGGGGAGGGAGGGCGCCGGATCGCGGCTGGGGCTGAGCCCATGGCTCTCATCGCCGCCCACGTGACCCGTGGGGGGAGGAGGCCGCACAGCCCCCCACCCGGAGAGAGGCAGATGTGTGGGCGGGCAGATGCAGCCGGACCCCCTCACTCTCCCCCATCCCCCAGACAGGCAGCACGGGGGGTGGAAATTGTGCAGTGCGATGATAAGGTTCACAGGTTCAAATCCTGGCTCCGCCGCTTACAAGCTATGTCGCCTCGAACCAGAGAGATGACAGGGTAAAGTTCATGAAGCCCTTTTCTGAGATAGACTGTGCTGCCGGCCATCTGCGCGTCACCCACTTATTCCCTCTATAAAATGGGAACAGTCCTCCTCATCTCAAAGGTTTGTGGCAGGGATTGAATATGCTGACATTCACGAAAAACGACCAGCCGGGTATCTGACGTAAAGCAACATGCAATAATGTCCTTTACAGAAATGCAGGCATTCATGCATGCACTTGTCACTTCATTCATTCATTCATGCACTCTTGGTATTTAAAATAAAAAGGCGAGGGGCAGCCTGGTGGCTCGGTGTCTCCGTCGGTTGAGCGTCAGGCTTCGGCTCAGGTCACGATCTCGTGGATCATGAGTTCGAGCCCCACGTTGGGCTGTCCGCACAGAGCCTGCTTCAGACCCTCTGTCCCCCGCTCTCTCTGTCCCTCCCTCTCTCTCTCAACAATAAAAAAACTAAAAACACAAAGGTGAGCTGCGGCGCCTCAGCCTCCAGCAAGGAGCACCCTCACACTCCCCTCCGCACGTCCACCCAGTCCCAGCAGGGCAGGCAGGGGCGTCTGCAGAGTCAGTAGTAAAACTGAGCCATTAGCCTCCATTACCAGGATTATTCAGAACTCTCCAAGTGGAAACAACGCGAATGCAGCCAGGCAGCAGTCGAATGAATAAACCGTGGCGTGTTCGTTCAAAAGAACACTCGCTACAGCAGCAGAGGGGCGGGGCGGTCGCCGCACAGCGTGGACGCGCCGGGAGTGGCGCCGGGCCCAGGGAGCCGGTTTCCACGGTCCATTCACACCCGCAACCCACCCAGCCAAGAGCACCTCGGGCGACAGAGCGGACACGGCCAGCTCCCTGTGAGGCCCGGAGAGGCGGGAGGGGCTTCCTAGCGCTGCAGAGATTTCCTTCCTGACCTGGGAACTGAGCCCCAAGTGTGTTCACTTTGCGGAGAGGCGTCAAGCTGTGCTCTTGTAACACGTGCTTTTTCTGTTTTATGAAATCTGGTTGAAAACATGTTCACCAGACCTTCCAGGGAGGCGTCCTGTAGTCAGTGGTCAGCCGGGGGGGGGGGGGCGGAGCGGGGGGGGGGCGGTGAGCCGCCTTCCAAGGTCAGAAGGGAAGTGGACCCAGCAGAGAAGACAGAGAAGGGGCCCGGTGATGCTGGGGGGCCGGATCCAGAGGCCGTGACAGCTTCCGGGAGCACGTGCTGCCGCGACCAGAGAACATGGAGACTGACGACGCACCGTTGAGTCGGACAACATGAAGGTCACTTGGTAAGAGCATTCTGGAGGCAGAGAAGGGACAAAAGCAGACTACGGCAGGCTGCCGAGTAAAGGGAGGTGAGGAGAGCAGACAAGACCCGATGAATCCTACCTATCTTTCCGGACCCAGCTCAATACCGCCGCCTCCAGGAAGCCTTCCTGATGGCCCTCTTCCTCTCAAGGCCACTTCACGCTACAAGTCACTTAAGGCTGTCCCACCTGATGAGATGGGCACCTCCCCCCCACCCCCGGACTGTCCTCCATCACCCCTGCATCCTGGCACCCAGTGGGCATTTCAGAAACCTTAGCTCCCCTCTCCCTCCCTTCTCAGATCACAGAAGGACATTCTGAGACTCCCCCAAAACTTTGCTCTCCCACAACATTATCCTTCCACCCCGGCCAATTGTTTTTGTGTTGCTGTGCGAAGGTTATTAGTATAATGATGAGAGTGAATATTGCATTAATTTGGTTAGCTATCTGTATTACCGTAGTCATTAACTCGGTGACTGCAGTGGTGTTTCCATTTCAGCTCGCTTCTCGTGCAATCTGTCAAACCTCCCAAAATAATGGAGCCCAGAACCACATTTCATAACAGACTGAATATCAAATTTACAGAATTTATGGAAATCGGCCTGTAGTGACCACCCTCCACGATGAGAAAAAAACAACAGGTGGGTGAGCCCAGGGCAGGGCCAACCCCCCACCCCCCCATGGGGGGGGAGGTTCTCCAGCCCCTGGCAGCCTATTTTTGGTAGCCAGGAGAGACAGCTTAGCTAATGGAGATCTCTGCCCAGCTCACATCATGACCCCCGCCCTCGCCCAGGCTACAGGGCTGGGGAAAAGCCTGGGTGAATGGAATTCATCTGGCTTTCCTTCACTGGGCTTTGTGCTGGAACTAAACACCTACATTGCCGATGGCTACAATTTGTCTGCCAATAGTCTCTTGAAGCAACGTTTACTCCTCAGCCCGCCCAACTCAGAAGCCTCACTAGTGTGTCTGAACTAGAGCACAGATTCATTTACAGGGAAGACTCACACTAGCCAAACTCACACGGCTGATGTATAAACCAGAAGCCACGTTTTCCACTGACGATGAGCAACTGCGCTGTGACAAGGACCGGACAGTCTTCTCCCAGAAATGCAGCCTTGCCTTCATCCACCTCACCGGGCCTCTCTCTGGACAAGGTCACAGGCTCTGGGTATCCGGAGGCACCAAGCACAGAGCCCTCACCAGGCCTGCGTGTGGCCCTCCCTCTCCAGCTCCCTGCAGAGGTGAGGCTGTGCCCACCCCCCAAGCTGCTGAAGCCCGGGCTCCACCTCCCATCACTGCAGACAAGCCCACTGCCCATTTCCCCTTGATTTCTATTGTAACCCCTCTCCTTGGGGCTTTCGGGAAAAATCCCAGTACAGGCCATGGGTGGGCTCGCTTCAAAACTTTGCTTTTTACGGAATTCCAGAATCCAAAGCGGGGCCTTTCACATAGTCAAAGCTCAGTAAATCATTACTGAGGAAACAGATGGATGTGTTGGCCTGGCTTCCGCACCTCCATTCTCCATGCAGGTAAGCCCTTCCCTGGGGCAGCAAACAGACCCTGAGCCGCTGACGACAGGCCCGATCCGGGAGGAGTCATGGCCGGCCCTCCCGCCTCGGACCCCGCCGCCTGGCTCACCTCCTCTTGGCTCACGGCGGTCCCTCACCTCCTGTTTCGTTTTCTAACCCCGGGAGCTGTTCTCCCTCTAAGATTATGCACGTCTCTCTGTTCCATTATAAACTGACTTGAAATTTAGCTT